GTAATACTGCTGCTCAAGTGGGATCTGGGCAAAAGGGACAGGAGGGACAATCTTACGAGGGCTGGCATTTGTTGGGAGGTGTGAACAAGAAGCGGCAGCATGTGGATCTGATTGTCACACTGAAGATCAGCAGGCTGACTTTCTTACACATCTGTTTGCCTAAGATCAGAATAAGGCTTTAGAATAGTCCCTGGTGTTCCTTGTAAAATAGAAGTGTGGCTATAGTAGAACTGTCTCACGTTTTCTTGTGGCCTACAAGAAGCTGCCAAGTATTCTTTTGTGGAGCAAGGTTAATAGTGGGTTTGTAACATTTTGAAGCAAACTTCACCTGCACTATCCACTCTTCTTCCTTGGCTGCTGCTTTGTCAATGTACCACATCTGGACCATGGGACCAAAGCATCTAACAATACATCTTATCTGCACTGCAGCTCATACTTTTCAGCATCTTTTAAACTTGGCAAAAGAGAGCATTATTAATGACCAAGACAAGCAACTCCAGAGAACTTTCCCTGCAGATGTGCTATTTTTCTGCATAATTTGCATGCTTATTTTGAATTGTTATTAGTTATCCCAGTGTGCCTTGTTTTATCCCCTGTTCTTTAATCTATATTGTCTTTATATTGGTGGTTAGCATATATGAAATTAGTTTGCATTATTATTGTAGTTTATGCTTTCATCTTTTCCCCCTCCTGTTTTTGCAATTAACTTAAAGTTAGTAAGCCAACTATCTACAGTTACCCCATCTATTTCAAAGCTCTGTTTTGATAGTAGGCATTAGGCCTATCCATTTTCTCTCTTTGTGCTCCCACAAAGTTCCACTTTGATTGTCAACAATATTAAATGAAGGATAAGAGTAAAGTCTGTAAAACTATTCTGTAGTTCGGAATGCTGTCATAAGAGTAGTTTTCAACACTAGAATAAAGAGGCAACTCTTAAAATACATATTATTAATGCAGCCAAACGGTTTACAAATGTTTCCTTAAGGAGAGTAGCTTATCCATAAGAACGGTAGTCCTCATAAGACAAAACCCTTGTATACTACTTTTCTCAAGCCGCTAATTATCAGAGAGGATGGAAATTGAAATGGCTATTGTGGATGGGAGGCAGACAAAAGGTCTGTGTAACATTGGTAATCCTTCCCCTCATGTTCTTCATGAGTTATTTAATGGATTTACATCCTCTGTCAGAGACAAATGCCTGCATGCAGTGCCATGCATGGCTGGAAAATATGTTGTATTTTCTCTGTCTGTCGAAAGTCACCTAGTCTGAGACAAGAGATTTTCATCCTGTGAATTTCAGGTACACTGTTTTAAACTGTTTATGTTTTTCTCTCAAAAGGGCTGGGGGGAGGGCAACCCTCACCCTCAATTTTTTGTAATGTAAGAGGAAATTGCACTACTGCAATACCGTAAATACTATACTATAATAAATCCAGGAATAGAGCAAGGATTCAGGTTTTGAACTTTAATCAGTTTTACACTATGGCTGAAGTACTGATTTTTCTTTAAGTCAAGTTCTGTGCTTCACTATGCATACAATAGTTTGAATATGAATCTCCCATGCATGCTATTTATGGTCTGTATGAAATGGCTCCCAAACCTTGCTCTAATACCGACATTGCTGTGACACCATCTTGTGGTGAAGTTGCTGTACAGTAGTCCATGTGTGTTTCACTAGACATTTTTGACCAAAATTATTCCTGACTTTTTTACAAAAAATGAAGCCGCTCAAACTATGTATATGAAAGTAGGAGAAGGTGGTTAACCTCCATTATGTTAGGAAAGCTGCTTCCAAGTAATCAATAGGTCTGCAGTGCAGCAGAAAAGAAGGTATGTAACATTCCCATGTAGAATAAAAATGGATATCATGTATGCGGGAGAAGATGATTTATTCCTGGCTTAGATATAAGTATGTAAAAATTCACAAATTTACATTTGGGCAGCACTTTGACCAAAGTGTACAATTCAACATAAGCCCAAAATCCTCTTATCCTCTGTGTTTAGGAGAAATGAGAGCAGGAATTTATAATTGTAAGAAAAAGTGGCTTTAGCCACTGTATTTAGCCACTGCCATTGTATGTCAGATACGTTGTCTGGGGTTTGGCTGAAATGATAAAGATTTTAAGGAGAACTTAAGTATGGTGTTCTTTTTGCTGAGACATTGGATTTGAAATTCAGAGTTTGCTTTCTCTTTTTATCATAGTTTGTAAAATAGAAGTGACATATTTTGGGTTATACAACTGAAAATTTATAAATAGAGGGGTTTTTTTTAGTTGGAAAATGGGCATTTATATATAGTTACCTATCATTTGCCTAGTTTTGTTATTAATCCGCGACCAGAAATATGAGGTAATAATGTAATCCCAAACTTTCATTTGATGTTATAATGTAATAAACAGTGTGGAGTACATTCTTTTTCTTTCTATAATGATTCATCAATCAAAGTTCCTGCCTGGTTTAGGCCACTTGACCCTTTTAATAACCATCCCTTCTTTGCCATGTCAGTGTATCTTGCATACTGCCACGTGAGAATCACTTCCCTTTCAGTGCAGTATCAGCATATAGCACCAGCTCTGCAAAGAGAAACAAGTCAGAAGCTTATCTGTTTAGAAAAAATCCATGTATTTCTTCTAGTCCAGTGCAATTATATGTGTAACTTTCAAGTAAATAATTTCCAGAAGTCAAATCCATTTTCCTTCAACCTTTATCTCCTTGGGCTGCATAAGTAAACCAGTTGCTCTTGCCAGAAAGATCTGCATTGCAGTTCTTGGTGTAGGTGGGGTGTGGTTTCGTGCCCATATAAAAACATTACTGTACCCTGTGAAAAAGTAAAAGTAACATGAGGAAGCAAATTTTTTTAAAGCACTTTAAAAAAAAACGACTTCTGTTTTGTGGGTTCCTGAAAGTTTGTGAACTAATTCTAAGGAAACTGCAAAATATTTATGAGGAAAAATAAGCCTATTTTTGTAGAGTTAAATTTGCTATATAGGGACCCACATCCATTTTGAAAAATGTTAGGTGTTAAGCAAATTAAAAAGCAGTACTCTAATTTTAAATATGCACCATTTTGTCTGTCACTTACGGGAACAACACTCCAGAGTACCACCTGGGTCAGGAGGCTCAATAACCTGTGGACATCAGGGGTGTTGTACCTGTGCGTTGATATTGCCAGTGGCTCACAAAAATACAAATGTATCTTCAAAACTTGAAAATCTTCGTGGCTTTCCTTGTATCAGGAAATGAGATACATTAACTAGTTCGTATCCTAAAACATAATGGTTCCTTATTAGTGAGAATGAACATTAAATCATAGCTAATAAAATAGGGTACAGCAAAGGTAGGCTATGCATGTGTCCTCAGTAGAGAAGATGGACAAAAGCAACCTACTAACCAGCTTTCAACTGAGAAAAGTTTGAGTGCTCATGATGGCTTTTAACTTTTACAATGTGTGCCAGTAAAAATGACTAAGCAATCTGTGGTTGAACAAGGATAATATTAATGTGGAAATTTTTAATCACTGCAGGTATTTTTACAAGTGATGATAATTATTTTTTTTAGTCTTATGTTCACTACAAAAAAATTGAAATTTTGTATCCTGTTATTCCTAATATTAAAGCAAATATTTAAACGTTACTTTTGAACACTAAGTTCATATAGGGTAAAGTTTAAACAGCAAAAATCTTATCAGTCACTTACTGATGTTTGCTAAAATTTAAGTTGTCCCAGGGAACTATCAGAGGGCATTTGCATTCTGAATAACAAGAAGAACTGTTAACAGGGCCTTCTGGTGTTTTAGTAGCTAAATAGAAGAGTAATTATTTGGAAATATGAGTTGGCAGTTTCATCTGACACTCTATGCGTATGTCCTTATTGCTGTACACCAACCCTTTGACATTCATTTTTTTCATAATGTAGTTTTTGATTTATCATGTAATTTGAGCCACCTACGACAAAATGTTACTATTAATGCAGTGATGCATTGGACATTTAATGGATTATATATGTGAGTCATTTGACTGCAGGATTGTTTATGGCTTACTTGCATTCACTGTGATCAAAAGTGTGTGTACTGAGCATTGAATTATGTGAAAGATAACTTCATAAAACTGGTGCAGAATTTACTTCATATTCTGAATATTTGCATTGTGGTACATCCATCCTTTGTACCAGTTTGATTTGACATTGACTAGCCTGTGTATGTTTTTCCTTTCATTTGTTGTTTCATAAAACATCTTTGTTGTAGGTGTTTTGTCTACTCTAAAAAGGTACACAATGCGGTCATTTAAACTGGACATTGTCTAAACTGATCAGCCCCAAATTAGATACATAGACTTTTTCATGTTTTCCAGCAAATTCTTCAGTACAGCTTTTTTAAATTTTATTAAAAGGACTGAACAGTCATAAGCTAAGCTTTAGAAACAGTCCTTTAAATATAATACAAAAATAAAAATTTAGTAAGGAAATGAATGTAAACATAAAGACTTGAAGAGCAGTTTCTTTTTCTAAGTTGGATAACAATCCCTTATGGATCTTCATAGTTTGCAGAACAAGATGAACAAATAGGAAAGAAAAAGCACAAGGATTATATGCATAAAATTAAGTGTATTAATATGTGTGGCCATCCTGTGGCAATAAAAAGTACTGTGTTATATTTTTTAAGAAAAAGTAATATTAAGAAACAAGTTTGGGGTTGCTTAATTTAGATGACAACTATGCCTTGAACGCAGTGTTTTCATATAGCCAGAAAGAATAAGCAGTAATCTCTTCTGTAATTGCTCGTAGGGACTGAAAATTGCTACTGCTGAGCAGAATTTTTTTGATTAAAAAAGAACAAATTAGCCGAATATAAATATGTGGAAAGAAGCACGGGTTTCTGTAGCGTAGTAGCAGCCACTGGATCACTGTAGGCTACAGCTTTACAACAGCATGTTTTCAACCCGCTTCAACTTTCATATGAGCTATAACCAAAGTTGCTGGGTATTTTTGTTTGTTTTACTCAGCTGGAAAGTCATCAATTCCAGGCAAGACTACAGACCCAGAATAAATCAGTGCATTTCAGAAACACTGATGAATTTATTTGTATTTCTTCAAGAAATGTCCCACTTCAAGGAACAAAACCCTGGCAAGGTAAGCACTCCCAAGTAAGATGAACAGTTCGATATTGTTTAATACAAAGGTGAGAGAGATTTTTAAAAAACAAACAAGCAAGAAAAAAAAAAAGGAAAATAAAATACATTTTATGATACATTCAGTCATGAGTTTCTGTTAACTTTTTCCTGTGCAGAACACAGGTAGGTCATCAGTGAGCAAAGCTGCTCACAGTGAAGTTTATAGCAGGACAGTCCCTCCCCTTACTGCTCCTGGAACTTCACCAGTCATTCCGTGGAAAGGAAATTTAAAACATCACAATTTAATAAAAATCTGAAAAAGCAGGAATAGTACACAGTTCGTAAACATACACTTTTTTTCCCAAGTAATTGTAGTTTTCAAAGGTAGCAGCACAAGTATTATATGATAGAAGACGATCCTTCATATTTTATTGTGATAATTTTTCTTCTATACAGATTTAGTTGTTTGGGTTTTTTTTTTTTTACTGGAAAGACTGAGCTGGAGAACCCAGTTCATGAAGAGGCAAGCAAGAATAATGTTTCTTCTTACCTAATAGGAAGAAGATGATTATGTAGTTCTAGACAAAAGTGAAGCAGATTTCTTTTCCAAATAAAAATATAACTAATGTAGAAGTATGTCATGGTAGTAGTAGATTTCATTTTTATATATGTGTTGCTAAATATAAAAATTGAAAAGGAGATTAGGAGGTTTTTCCCCCTCTTTTGATGTCAGTTAACTGACACAAAATCTTTCATGAATCTTCAGAATTAGTAATTTGGAAGTAGGTAGCACCACAGTCATATATTAGGAGTTTAGACTGAAAATACAGATAACCAACAGGATGAAATACATTTCAAAGATGAATAAATAGTACAAAAGGAAGTTATATTTAGGATAATAAAGTTATATTTAAAAGAAGTAGATGTATATTGAGGTAAGGTAATGCAGTATCAGTATACACAATCCCATAATTTTGTCATATAGCAACATGACAGTAACTGTACACTAAGATATATCTAATACTAATTTAGAAAAGCTAATCTTGACAGCATGTTTTCTTTTCTTTTTCCTGACCTCATTCTCTAAGCCATGTCATCAATGCTTATAAATATCTGAAGGATGGGGCCAGACTCTTTTCAGTGATGCCCAGCCATAAGACAAGGGGCAACGGGTACAAACTGGAGCACAGGAAATTCCGTCCCAACATGAGGAAAAACTCCTTTACTTTGAGGGCGACAGAGCACTGGCACAGGTTGCCCAGAGATGTTGTGGAGTCTCCTCTGCAGATATTCAAAACCTGCCTGGATGCATTCCTGTCCAACCTGCTCTGGGTGAACCTGCTCTGGCAGGGGGGGTGGAGTAGATGATCTTCAAAGGTCCCTTCCAACCCCTGCCATTCTGTGATTATTTTACTGCGATAACTACAAGCACATTAGGCACTGATGCTGCGTGCAAAATTTTTTTGAATTAACCATTTTATTGCAATTTAACTCCAAAAGCAAATGGATTCCTTCTGTAAACTTTCAACAGATCAATTCTGCACTCAGCATTGTGCAGTTGTGAAAGAAGCATTATGTGCCTCAGTCGTAGCAGAGGCTGAATCTCAAGTTTTATACTGAATATTCAGCTCAGTATTGTCATTACAGGGATGCTAGAGTAGCCAACAAGCAGCAGGAGAATGCTTGCCAGCATATGAGAGAAAACAGCTTCACGAAGCAACACGACAGGGGAGAGAACTGTACTTATCAGAAGGATTTTTTGCTTTTGTAAGCGTGCAGCAAATATGCATTGTAATATTTCAGTTAGTGATTTGGATTTTTTCCTGCATATCAACTGTTTAGCCTTTTTTTGTGTAATGAAGGTGAAGTAATTTCTAGCTAGTAGTGTCAGCAATTACCATAAGCTTGTTAAAACTTTACAGTGAATGAAGAAAAATAGCACATTTTTAGAATAGAAGAGAGGGTGTATCCTAATTAGCCAAAATGAACTGTTTGATGCTTATTTGCACTAGATGTGTTAAAGTATTTCCTGATTTAAAAAAAAAAAAAGCTTCCATTTTCTACTGCATTCTAGATTTCATTTAGCATGCAACATTTTTCTTTTGCAAAACGATCTAAATATTTAAACAGTGGAAATGCTAATGGCCAATTTTAATGTTTTTGCCAGTTTTGCCTACTAGTCTGCAGTGTATGTACATTTTTCACTGTCTTGGGAAGTTACATTCCTGGAGTTGTCCTCTCCTATGTCCTGTGTAAGTATAGTCTCTTTTTCAATCATGATTTACGTATGTGGTTTGTTCATTATTTGGTCTCTGTATAGGGAGTACTTGTTTATTTATTTATTCATACACACACGCATGTATGTATACACGTATATATGTAGGTTCTGACGAGTGCCTTTTGTCATATGGAAGTCAGCTTACAAGTTTTTTTCAACTTGTTGATTCTAGCACAATGTTGCATAGTCATGTTTCTCAGGTGGAGATATCAAAATCGGTCTAGATCTAGATAATGATAAATGTTATGGTGATCATCAGTTGTGCCTTACTGGAAGTAAAAAAGGTGTCAGTTGATATGAATACAATGGTATTTTCTGCAACAACTAAGAACGGTTCCTAGAAACTGGATTTGAGATTAACAGTTTGACATGGGCATTTCACAGTGCTTTTTTATGTAAAACTAATTGCATTATGTAAAATTGGTAGTTATCTTACGCAAATGAATTGTTTAATCTTTAAACTTCTTATAAAGCAGTATTTCAATAAAATTTCTCTCTGTGTCTTCATTTTTATCACAGTATTGTGTGCCTTTTTATGTCCCTTCCTTAAGTGCAATGAATTTGGACAGAAACTGTGCAACAAAGTTAAGACTGTTCTGATGAAACTAGATTTTGGAATAGTGGAATATATCAACCAGAAGAAAAAAGAGAGATCTGGTGAGTATTTAAGTGTAGTCCCAAGTAATGTATTTCTGTATGCAGAGAAAATTTTATTCACCTTGCAGACAGTCTGGTTTGTCTTGTGAAGCCAAGTGTAAAGGTATTTCTTGCTGTGAACCGCTGCTTGCTTTATAAGGAGTGATAACATATGTCAGGCATCTGGCTATGGTAAGAAAAATATTATTTCATGGAAGGAAACAAGGCAAGACTGATGGTTCTCTTCATACTTGATTAGATGTACTGCTTGTAGATTTTCAAAAAAAAATATTTGCTGTAAAGTATGCGATGCTTATCTCAGTTTAGATAGGGCAAACTTATCCAGGAGAGAGACTCATTCAAGAACACAAAATGAGTACATAACACAGTTTTCAGTAAGAGACCGAGCTCTGTTCCAGCATCTAAATCCGCCTTGGTTTCACTCCCAACAGCAAGAAGAATTTGTGTTCTTCCCTAAATACTAAATAAGCATTTAAGAATTGCAGTAGGATAGTAGCTACAAATTAATCAAGGGTTTTAGTTAGAAAGGAGAGAAATTGGATTAACATCAAATTTCACCTATCTCACCTGAAAACATTTATAACGTTGGAAACTTAGATTTTAAGTAATAAAGCTATTTCAAGAAAAATATTTATATGAACGATGTTATCTTTAGTTTGCTTTTTGTGTGAACTACAGTTTTGGTTATTAAACCTTTGTAGTGTAGCTACATGACTTGCAGGTAGCCTACCCCTTTTAGTTAGTATTATATCAGTAGATTTCACTTCTGCTTTAAAACAGTCTTGTAACTGCTTTAAAACTTCTTGTAACAGTCCATCATACAATGTGCTGTTCCTAGACACAATGAGAGGAACCATCTGCCTTTTCCCCTATTCTTACATATAATGCAGTAGTTGTTGAAAATAAGGAATAATGCACTGAAAATTTTATTTCCTGTGTTATTCCACCTTGTACTACTTTTAAGTGAAACTGCCAGAGAGATCAGACTATTGTTTCACAAATTTCATAAGCCAGCGCTGGGAAAACGGTTGAGGTTAGATTCATTCTTTCCTGCCTCTCACCCTCCAGTTTAATTTAACGAAGACAAGTTCCTTACCTTTTTTTGCCACTTGGGTTCACCACATGGGTTCACAAACCCTGGTACTGGCACAAGAGAGGAAATAGCAAGTTGCAAAAATAGGCAACCAAGAATAACATGACTGTGGTTTTCAGCTTATATGGGTTTAAAATACTCGTGAGGCTATTCTCAGACAGAGAGAGGAGAGGAGGCAAAATTTGTATCTGCATTCATCTGTTAGGAGCAGCATCTACCAGACTTAAGAGGATGCTTTGTATGCATATTTGCATATAAATATTGCAAATGTGGGGGAATGGGGTGCAAAGAAGGTTTTGTGAATGAAGATTACATGCAATTATTCAGAAAATTGCATGTTCTCATGTAAAATGTGCTAGGATAACTACACTGCCTGTTTTAACAGTATGTTACAACTGTGCGTTGTACCAGTAGTGTAGTTTAAAAGATAGATGTATATTGCCAGGCAACATTATATTATGGTGAGCAACAGAGACTTCTGAAACCAACTAACTAAATGTATAGGAATGTATTTCAGAGCAACAATATCTCTCCTGCTTTGTCTGCTGCAGGATGTATTTTGATAAACATCTAGCCTCTCAATCAGCCTTTTTTCCATTACCTGAGTAGCATATTATGTAAATGATGCGCTGTGTCAACAGGTGAAAGCTTACTGTATAAAGCAAGCTGTGTGACAGGGAATGCACACTGAACCTCAAAGTCTCTTGTCGTAAGTAGGATTAAAAATATTATTTTTTTTTCTTTCAGAAACAGCAAAAACAAAACCCACAGAAGATGACAGTGAATTAGACATATCAGCCCTGTGTCCTAAGGTAACTGATTTTCAGTCAGCCCTATCTTGCTTTTAAGATCTATATAGGTAATGGAGAGTATCTAGGCTACTGTCTCTGTTTTCTGTGGAAGACTTTAACCTACCCTGGAGGTTGTGTTCCTGAGCTAAGCAGTAATGCTTTAAAAGAGATTCATAGTCTCCATCTTTAGGCTTATACTAATTAACTTACTGCATTTTTGACTTGAAGGTAATGGTTTCTTTGGCCTACGACACTAAGAATGTGTTTATTTTGTATTGGCTGTGGAATCATTAAACTAGAGTTTAATAGCAAAGGCAGCTATTTTTATTTGTAACAGTGAAATGGCAGTTAATTTTTATCAAATTAAAATAGAAAAGGGAAATGTTCATAGAAAACCTACATAGTTTGTCAGATACTTTTGTACTCACTTGTCTGATCATTTTCAATGATAGTGTAAATCAGTATATTATCTGTAAGTATCTTTCTAGACATGTATGAGAACATTCGAATATCTCCTTTCTCTCTTAATATTCTAAATAACGGTATGGCCAAAAATTTTCCATTATAATCAGAACACTGGTTGATATAAAAATAATTCCATTTTATAGGAATTCTTATGCAGTGTTTGATCAGTAGTGTATAGACCCTGACTTTGACAGTGATCACTTTGAAGGTGGTTTTGTATTCTAAAAAAAAATAAATTTATACCCCATGGAATAAAAATTTGTAGCTGACATAATTGAATTTTGTTGTGTAAATTCATAAAGTATAATGATATTTTTTTTTATTTAGCTATTTTTTTACTGTTATAGATAATGGGGGTGGATCCAAATTTATACATTTCTTTATGTTTATGTGTATTTTATGTTTGCAGGCTCATTCTGCTTTCATTACAGTAGGGTATTACTTTCAGAATGAATAATTGGAATTTTCTATGCTTCTTTAGTCTAGTACAGCTTTCAGTTGTTACGAAGAGGGATGCTTCAATTCTAAGTATTGTATACTCCTATTATTTTCATACTCCTACAATTAAAGCTTAAACAGGAGACAATTCATATTGCTATGACATGCAAGAGGCTTCTTTTTCTGTATCTAAGCACTGGCTTACTGTAATGTGATTTTTTTGAGTATAAGAATACCATGTATGGGACTTTTTTATGTTTAGGTTAGTCCTGCAGTTGTTGCCAAAGAGCTATCAGTGTCTGACACAGATGTGTCAGAAGTATCTTGGACCGATAACGGGACCTTTAACTTATCCGAGGGGTATTCTCCACAGACAGACACATCTGATGGTATGTAATGGCTTCATCTATTTCATCGATGAATTGCAGTCATGTAAGTTACCTGAAAATGATTAGAGAATTTAAGGACAAAAATTTTGGGGGTAGGTTTGTT